AACGTTTTTTTTTATTTAGAATCTTGATCATCATGAAAAATTAGATTTTACAAATCATCGAATCTTTTAGTTGTTTTTTTCTTTCTATTTCTTCGATTGATACTTACAGAAATGAAAATATATTCGTAAAGAAAATAATTTTTGTTTTGATAATATGTTTCATAAGGAAACCAAGTAAACAACATTTGCTTCAAGTCACAAAAATTTTGCTTTTATTGAATATAAGAATGATACATTTTAAAATCATTTCGCAACAACTTCACGGATATCCTTTGTTGCATAAAAATCATTTCTCTATATGTTGAAATTAGAATAATCTTTTTATCATTTGAAAATATCTATGAACTTAGTGTCATATTTTCTGTTGTCGATGCCATATAATCTAAAGTATTATCAATATTATAAGAGACACTCGTTTATTACATTCCTTTATAATGTTTAGTAGAAAAAAAAAATTTGTTTTTCATTATGTATTTTATTGAAGTATGATTTATTCAAAACAACATCATATATTGACATAAAAGCTTAGATACAAACATCCATGGATTATACTTTTTTCTTTTTGCAGTCATCATCTTAATATTAGATATAAGTCGTTGAAAACAATGTTTAAAGATTCTCTACAAAAGAATTTTATGGTATTAATTGATAATGGTTGAATAGATAAACATAAAAAAAAGCTACAGTGATGTCGGCAGATTGTAGTAGAACTATTAATATGCAACATATGTTTATATGCATCTACTTAGTTCTTAGTTTTATCTTCTTTCTGAATTTGGTATTGGTTTTTTTTTTCATCTTCATAACAGCATTCGTCATTTCGATCTTTCAACATTTTTATTGGCGTTTTTTTTTTTCGACATTATGCTATTTTTTTTTTTCTATGTTCTATCAATATAACATGTGTCTGATGATCTTATATGACAGTCATAATTCTTCAATTGAGACACCATCATAGGAATAGGACCGTATTCACACATTAAAAAAAAAAAAGCAGTCATTATCCTATATCGCTTTCCACAGTTGTTATTCACTCATACTTGTATTAAAATTAAAAAAAAATGATGTTTGAAACATGGTGAGTTGTAGTATTTCTTATCATAGTTAATATGTGAATATATTCAAATTTAGTTTACTTTCTATTTTATCAATATTTTTACCACCTATTGTTGTGTTAATCAAAGTGGGTAAGAGTTCGAAAAAAAAAAACCAATTTATCTTTTAATAAATCAATTCAATTGATAATGTATTTTAAAGGATGTACGGAACGATTCTTAATAAATATTTTACTAACTCTTTGTGGTTTTATTCCTGGAATAGTTCATGCATTATACATTGTATGGTCTACTAGAAATCAATAAATGATATTGGTTCATTATTATAAACAATAATAAACTTATCATATTGATATTTTATTTCTTACAATTCGACTTTTTTTTTTCTTTCAATATAAATCATTACAATTAATTTCAAACGATTGTAATTTTGCATTGAAAAATTTAGTTGTAAGAATTTTTGTATATAATCTTAGCATTGAACTTCTCAAAGAAAATGATTGTCATCTAACCTTCTTTTTTTTTTTTTTTTCATTACTGATCAACATTTGCTCTTTCTCTGTTTTATACGTGTGAGGTCATGTAAATGACATTATGTTATGAATAGAGAGGAAAAAAAACCAAATGAGAATTACATTTTGCGTTTGCTTATGAAATGCTATTCAAGCGAACGAGAAGAGAAAAAGAACACAGAACAAAAATATTACCTGAATGGAATTGTTAGGGTCTATATGTGATGGCCGGTTAGTATTGTTCTATGAGAGGAAAAAAATGGGTAAGTTCTTAGTCTCAAAAGGGAGCAACCAACAAAAAAAAAAAGAATGTTCCTCCTCCTTCCTTCGTCCGTGTACACATTCTCCGTTTGCTTCATTCATTATTGATTGAACATTGAAGATTAAATATATATATCGATTTAGATGGAGAATCCACCAGATCTCATTGTTGTTATTACATCAGATGAACAATATCAAGATAAAAAGAAATTAATCGTTGAAAATATTAATCAAGAACAAGATAAACAACATGATGAATTATTAGTCAATCTTCAATCAGATAAACATGCTCTTGAATGTCAACTTGAACAATTACGAACTCAATTAATCATACGTAATAATTATGAATTTGATGAACAATCATATTTATTACAACAACGATTTCAAGATGAAATACAATCTATTATTCATCGTCATACGAAATTAATTCATCATACTACCAACGATTTGTCTGCTTATGTAACAAATGTTCTACGAAAAAGTATCGAAAATATTGAAAGTTTAAGGTAAATTTTCTTATTTACGTTGAATATCATTAAGAATTCTGTTTCGATTTTTTCTTTTTCGTCTATTTGCCAACATATACAGATTATTACATCAAAAAGAATTATGTACACATTCAAAAATGATTACTGATTGTATTCAACAACAATCTAATGAAATGAATGAACTAAGTCATCATTTAATTAATCAACAACATACAATGCCTATGAATTTATTCAATAGACTTATTGATGATTTTCGAACTTCACTTAACAATTTGAAAACAAGTTTTGATTCAAAAATTAATTATCTAAATGATATTCATTCATCAACAATCGACAAATTGAATATGAAACATGAAATTGAGATAAATGAAATGAAATGTGAATTAAATTTGATGTCTAATCGATCAAACTAACTATCTCAATATTAATTTATTTTCTGTATCATATTCTACATTAGATGAAAAGCTATTACATGACAGATTATTAGTAAAAAAAAACAAAAAAAAAAAAAAATAAACAAGATGTCATTTTTCTAAAGTAGAATTTAATTGAATAAATATTTTAAAAATTGAACAATTTTACAATATTAAAATTAACCAAACAAGCAAAATGTACTATTACATGTATTACCTTGAATTATTTTGACTCATTAACAATCAAATAATAGAATGCACAATATTGAAGGATCCATATGTCATTAAAATAACTACAGTAATGGTAAAAGAGTCTCTTGTATTGTAAGGACGTTCTATAATATCAAGAACGCCGACAGTTAATGTTTAATTGACAAACGAAAGTTGATAGAAACTAATAAATATTCGTAAATTCAGTCATCATAAATAATCTGTATTTTAATTTTGAATAAATTTATGTATAAAATGAGTTCACATACTAGTACGATATATGAAAAGAAAATGATCTTTAACTGATATATTTTCATTGACAAAAATCACTATTTACAAGTTGATTTCAATGTCGAAACAGATAGATATGGAATAAACTACCCAAATTGTTAATAAAGTCATTGTCATATTTCTATAAGACCGAATAACGAATAAAATGACATACTAAAACAAGGAATATATATATATATATATCTTGTTCATAACAAATCTTCAAATTGACTGACTTTAGTCAGAAGTGGAATCGATTTCTATTTCAGTCTTATATTATATTTGTGCGTGCTTGATTGATTATATTTTGAGATGTATAAAATACAAAAGAATTTCGATAAACATCAAAATCGATTTTTTGCTCATAAGGTAATAAATATATCACAGCATTTATGTAATCAGTCGCATACACATTCAGCTTCCATACTCTGTGTCGTAATAGTCGAGAGAACGGCGAGTTACTAGAAACTCGTTCGAACTTTGTCAGAGAAATCTATGTCTTGAGATGATGCAAATATTTTTGATTGTTCAATTAATGTGATAATATAAAAATTTCGATCAAAACTGTTCACCTCTGATTTAGACAAATAAGGAAAACTTTCATTTCTATAATAAATCCTAAAAGATGAGATGAATAGTTTCGTGAAGATTGAAACGACGTTGAAAAAGAAGAACGATCTACCAGACCTACACTTCAGATCATATCTTTCATGATTACCCTTAATGTTAATTGTTACGATACCTATCTAGCCGTAAATGTTCTAAGTTTATGATCATTGGATATTATTCGTTGGACGGTGCCATGATACAGATCAGTTTGCGCTTGCAATTCGTCAATTGTAATATGAGGATTATCATTAATAAGATTATGGATCTGTTCGATCTTTTCGGATGTTACTTGATGACAGATAAGTCGGATCATGCTCTGTTTTTCAACATCTTCTCGATCTTCACGAAGCTATTCATACCATTTTTCAACTGTTCTAAGAGGCAGAGCCTGACTATCGAAAATAAAATATAGTGCAGTTCGGACTTAAATGCAAAAGTAAAAGTTTTTCTGATATAACAAGATCAAAAGTGAACAATTGTAGTCGAAATTCTAAAATTATTATAGAAACTGAAGAATGGCGAAATATTGTAGAATTATAGAACATTGTTTGGACTGACAATGTATACATATAGAGAAAACTTTCGCGAATCTTCTATAATGTGGTGTAGTGTTACTGCCACTACTTTTAGTATATCCTAAGTATATTATCTAATTCATTTATATCATAAAAACCTTATTATTGTCGTGAATGAACAACCAGTAAGTCTTTTCTATCCAAACCACACATTTCCAAAAGTATTTCTTCAAACGAAAAAACGATCTATCGACAATATGCAATTTCATCTTCATTAAAATCATTAATTTTGGAAGAATTATTCAGATCCAAGCATGGCTTTATTTACTTTTTTTCTACCCGTTTTTAGTTAATAAATAGCATGTATCAAATTTCTTTTCCTTTATCCTTTCTGTCATTCTACAGACAATAACAATCAAAGAAAAAACAGATCAAGCATCATCTTTATTTTGTTCAATCACAGAAAGTCATACAGAGTTTTCACAAAATTATTAAATAAATAAATCACAAACATCTTCTACCTATTAAATTAATACGACTAAATAAATACTTTTCAAACTAATATATTTGTTTATTTTTTCTTGTCATGTCATCGAAAATTCACATCACGCGGATTCATTATATTAAAAATATCCAAAAAAAAAAAATACATATAAAAATATGGAATTTATTTCATCACCAACGATAATAGACCAATAAAAGTGAAGCCAATAAATACACAAATAACTTTAACAATACGACAATGATTTGGAATATTTGATGAATTCTGTCGATAATATGTAGACATATTTAATTCATTTGGTAAAATATCAAAAAATGTAATATAAAAAAATGTTCCACATGCAAAAGCATGTAAAATTTCATGAAATATTTTTGCCATGAGATTTTCTGGTAATAATTCTTCCATACTAATTACAAAGAAAATTCCAATAGGTGTTGCAATTGAAATTAAAAAACAAGCAAAATAAATAAAACGTTTATTAGTCATATACATTAATTTTAATCCAACACTAAATGCAATTATTGATTTATGAATAATAATAGCAAAAAATAATTCAATAAATGTTTTATATTCATTACTTGAGCCAAGTGCTACACCTTCAAATATTGAATGAATAATTAAAGAAACTATTAAAATAAAATTTCTTGTCATTAATAAACGATTTTTATTTGTCATTAAATTATCTTTATGTTCATTTATTTCAAAACGATTTTCAATAGGTGAATCTAGATTTATTAATGGATCTTGATCATGTATATTTGTTAATGATGTTTCATCATCTTCATGTGACATTATTATTGGTGATTTTTTATTCATATGTCCTATTGAATGTATTGAAACTGTACGAAATGATATAATTATTTGTTCAATAAATAAAACTAAAAACAATCCACAACCAATTAAGAATTCAGCAATAGGATAATATTTTAATTTTTGATTATCATATTGAAATTCATTTTTAATTGTTGTATTAATATGATGAACAACTTCAGGTAATAAATCAAGTAAACATGCACCAAGAAAAATACCACCACCAAAACAAGTTATACAATTCATTAATGTTCTTAAAGACCAGAATGAAAATTTTGATCGAGTAAAATTTGATTTGTTATGATTTTTGATCCATGAAAAAAGATAAATAGGTATTGTTGAAAATAAAAATGTCGAAAAGAAGAGAACAGTAGAGAGAATTATTTTAATAACGATAATATTCATCATACAAAAATAATAAAGGGTGGTCCAGAAGTTCTGAATCGATTTGTATAATTAATTTTTTTATATTAAAACATATACTTAAAAATGTGTATCTATGATAAAAAGATGCAGTAAAAGACGCTCTACAAAACAGCCTATGACTGATCCTCCCTAACTCATATAATAAGAAAGTCATAGGCTTAGAAATGTGCTTCACGAAAAAGAAAAATTAACGGTGAACTCGACCTCGGTATTTTTGCTTGAACTCCTGTTCCTTAGGTCCTTTAAAACAAATTCCTTTTTAGATAGAAGCGCCATGAAATTCTCTTCAAAATCATATCTAAACTTTAATTTCAGGCCTTCAATCAAGGCAACTAAGCAAATTAGGCGCGACGCGGAAAAAATGAAAATTTTGTAAGTTCGGTATTTTTTCGACTCGAACTTTTTTGTTGTTGTATTATTTCCGTGAAAAGCTTAGCAAAAGCGAGAACTCAGTTTGTGTTTGATACTTTCAAGTGCACTCTTTCTCGTGGTCTGCAAAAAAAGTTTTTACAGTAGATGGTGTGCTCGAGAATGAAGTTTCAAAAATCTAAGACGTCCGTTTCCGACAATGTGTCCAACCAAGAAACAAAAAACGTGATCGAAGTTTGATTTTGCAATTAGGTAGAGAAGAGCAATCATTTCTGATCAAAATAAAGCAAACCCGATCGAAAAATCTTTTGTTTTGATGAAGTTACGGGACTTTTACTGAAGGCACCATCAGACGAAGAAAGTCCATGGTTAATTTTTCTTTTTTGTGAAGCACATTTCTAAGCCTATAACTTTCTTATTATATGAGTCAGGGAGGATCAGTCATAGGCTGTTTTGTAGAGCGTCTTTTACTGCATCTTTTTATCATAGATACACATTTTTAAGTATATGTTTTAATATAAAAAAATTAATTATACAAATCGATTCAGAACTTCTGGACCACCCTTTATAAATGTATGGAATCTAAAAATGCAAAATAAATAAAACTATTTATTAAATAATTAAATCAAGAAATTTTCTCAATCAATATATTTTTCAATCTTCTGCTTATATTCTTCACTTAATTTAACAATGATTATTGATCTAATAAAAGAATTTTAATGTAGATTTATTCAAAAAAAATCATAAAATATCATCACTTGTTTTTCTTTGATATTGATTGATCATTAACAAAAATTATATATACTGCGTAATTCATACTGAATGAATACATCTCAATCCATATTTTAAGTAGTCTAAAAACCAAAAATCGATGACTGACTAAAACAAACTACTAAACAAAGACGTGACTTATAGCAAGTGTAGGGAAGTGTGACGACCCTTTGTTTTTAAAAAGTACCCACGCAGTGCCCTTTTTGTATGACAGTTAATCGCTCTCTGCCCTTTACTTGCCTTTAGTACAGAGTTCCATTTATGTTTAGAAAAAACGATTAAAATGCAGTGCACCTCAATAATATTTTTCCCCCTATGTATTTCTAATTTTAAACTACTATAGTTTGCTCTTCTTTTAAATAATAAGTATACAGCGAGAACGTACAGACTTCACTGCATCATGTGGTCGATTGATCATAAGTAACGAATGCAAATCAAACAACAAAAAAAAACGTCAGAAGACAAGAAAATGTTTTTTTTTTCGACAGTTTGTAACACGAGTAAATCTAAATTTTTATTTTCCTGTTGTTTTTTTTTCACTTTATCCCATAAAAATTCAAAAACTATTTGAATATGTAAAAGTTTACTTTCGTTAATGCATCTAGTCAACTAAAGTAACACAGTGACCTCACTTTATTAGTCGAAATCTCAAAAACTTCAGCATGAAGTTGATAGATACTTCCTTATATTCAGGATCGTGGTTCAAAAAAATATTAAATTCGTTTTCTCTGTTCGCTTTCTATCTGTTTTTTTGTCTATATCTATACTGGATGAATATAGCACATATATTTACAATTTGGCATGGATTTAAAGAAGTTATTCGAAGACAATATCCATTGACAACAACAAATCTTCTATTGCTACTTTCAGAAACTTTCTTATCTTTATTGAGATAAGAGATCAAGAATGTATATCGCAAATGCGCTATTGCATGTGAGACTGATGTATATTATGATCGACTGTCTACATAAATATTTTCTTTTTCATAACCCAGATGAAACATTAATTGTCGAAAAAAATATCATCTTGTCTTCTGATGTGTTTCGTTGTCGTCTAATTTGCATTCGTTACTTATGATCAATCGACCACATGACGCAGTGAAGTCTGTACTTTCTCGCTGTATACTTATTATTTAAAAAAGAGCGAACTATAGTAGTTTAAAGTTAGAAATACATAGGGAGGAAATATTATTGAGGTACACTGTAATAACATCAATAAAAACTAGCTGTAGACTCGATTATTATAGCTTATTCAAAGATATAGAAAAACGACAATCATAAATATTTTTATTTATCTTGTTTGACATTCTCTAATTATATTATTATGATTTATTATCCAAAAAACAATTTCTTTGTTCATATTATTCTCTTTTTGTGATTTTTTTTTGATATTTGTAGCAATTTTGATCAATTTATTAATAAAAATTAGTTCGATTCTATCTTCAAACAACTCGAAAGTCTAACATAGACTTAATTAAGATACTACCTGCTTTGTTTTTTTTATATAGAACATTATTATCAATATTAGAAACATCTACTCATTTAAAAAAACAAAAAATTTTATCATTTTTATAATGAAAATAAAGAAATAAACTAATGTAGATTATATACATGATTTTATTTCATTCTTAACAATATAAACACTGGAAAGCGAAAAGAAATAGACATTTCCATAATTAACTAGATTGAGACGGTTATTGTTTTGAATTTGATGGTTTAGAATTTGTTGTTGACGACATATATGGTGTTTTTAATGACTAAAATATAAATATCAATGAATAAATCATTATTTTTTATTATTTTATTCTACAATAACTTACTGCTTTAAGTGCATCATTTGTTAAAAATTTTTTATATTGTTTTGGATCTTCTGTACCAAAACCTGGAACCCACATACTATATGTTCGTTCTAAAAACAAGAAAATAATTCCTATTGATTTATAAAAAGAATTATTCATGCCAAGATACAATTGAACATCTTTTGTTTCAACAGTATTTGATTTTCTATGTTTTGCATTTTGACATGAAGCAGTTAATGTTGAATCAACAAATTCTTCTGCTATTTGAATTAACATCTGAACAACAACAACAACAAAAAAAAACAAATGAACTAAAACATGAACAAATTGATTATCAAGAACTATATACATCTTCAACTTCTTCATCTATTTGCATCATTGGATCAACTTGTTTAATTAATTCTTGAATAGCACGTTTATCCAAAAGCTTGAAAAAATAAAATACAATAACCAAAAATTACATGTTTTTTTTTTTCCTTCAATTTACAGTTCGATCATTATCGCCTGTAGTTGTTCCAGTCGTAGCTGCTGTTGTCGTCGTATTTGTTGAACGAATAAAACCATTTTCATTTCGATATGCCATCTTTCAAAAACGTAAAGAAATTTTAATCAATATTATGATATACTGTCATAGGAATTAAAACACTTTTTTTTTTCCTACAAACATTCACACATACATGTAGTACCAGCGACATCTATGTCAAATCTTTAAGCAATAAATAAATTGATAATATTTTTACATAAAATAGTCGAAAACAGAAAAAGAAACATAATTATCCTGTGCTCATTAAAGGCATCAATATATTCTTGTCATTTCGCTAACAATCACTTAAGTTAAAATTCGAGAGAGCAGCACAAACAATATGCTTTCCCATTAAAACACATGTGCATAGAAACTTGCTATTAACAACGAGTGTCTTCTTCGATTGTAACTTAAATTGAGATTTTTTGTATATCTAAATCCTAGCATAAAACTTACTACTTCAAAAACCATAAATCAAATGCATTACTAAATTAGAATCTGTTAACAAAAGTATGAATCATCTAGAATCTGACAGCACACACTATTATTATTCAAACAGAAAGAGAGAGAGAGAGGGAGAGAGACATGACAACAAAATCTTTCATTCGATAGGAATCCAACGAATGAATATCAACGGTTATGAAATGCATTAATAACTTGAAAAAACATGCTTGACAAATAGACGGACGGACGTACGAAAGAAAGAATATGTCTGTCTAGTCAAACAAAAAAAAAAAAACATTATTCATTCTTATTGAGTAATATATATATATATATTAATGCCAGTCATTTTTTCTCCGTTTTAGAATATACTTTGGACACCGGAAAAAAAGAAAATTTTGTGACATTCATTTGATACAAAATTAAAGTTTAAAATATGGGTGGTCCACAATATGATAGAAATTTTGGAGGTTATCGAGTATTTTGTGGTGATCTTGGTAAGTCATGGAATTACAGACAAAAAAAAAACAGCAAATGACGTAATTACATTTTTCTAGGAAGTCGTACGAATAAATTTGAATTAGAACGAGAATTTGATACATTTGGTCCACTTGTTGATTGTTGGGTAGCACGTAATCCACCAGGTTTTGCTTTTATTGTTTATAAACATGCTGATGATGCCGAACGTGCTGTTGAAGAACTTGATGGAAGGTAAAATAAACTGAAGAATTCTTGTATCTAAAAATTAAATTTCTTGTTTTTTTTTTTCTTCTAATTTAGAACTATTTGTGGACGTCGTGTACGTGTTGAACATGCTCGACCAACAGGAGGTAAAAAAGGTGGATCATTTGGGCGTGGTTATTTACGCCAAAGATCCCCAGGGTATCGGTAAGTAAATTTTCTTCCAAAAAAACAAAAGAGGCAAAGAATGTTTTTTTTTCATTACTCTAATTATCGTTTAATATTTTTCTAATGACTTACATTTCGTTGAGAATGAAGAAAAAAGATTAAAAAAAAAACTTATCAATTTTTTTTTATTTCCAATTGGTTTTTGTTTACTCTCTCTTGTTAATTCCCATTTATTTATGTCCTATTGTTCAGCGTTGTTGCTGCCTATGTTCATCCATGATCATCATCTCAGTTGTTCATGTTCATCTATTCTGATCGTATTTCTGTACATGTATACAGCGGCATTTCTACAGACACTTTTCAGCCAGCTGATCTCCTAATCTGCAGTTCTCTTCTGCGTATTCTTCTCTTCAAACAGTGAGTAATTTTATTTCAAAGTCTTTAATGACGATACATTGTGCGGTGGCATGAACATGCTATATATTGATAGAATTATAAAGATGATATGTTTTTTTCTCTTAAATGTCGTTGGTTGTTTTTTGAAAATGAAAGAAAAAAAAAAAAACAAGATAATTCAAATAAAAATATAATATATATTTAGATCACCAGATTCAAAACGAGAAGATGATGATCGACGACCAAATCGACGTGAGCGACGACGTTCACCAAGTCGATCACGGTAAGATCTTTGTTAATTTAATTTGAAGAAAACAAAATAAAAATGATGATGAAATTTTATTTAGATCTCGTTCATCATCAAAAGAAGAACGTCGATCATCAAGACGACATCGTCGTTCTCGATCACGTTCACATTCAAAAAAAGAAAGTAAACGTAATAAACGTCGTTCATCATCAAGTCGATCACCGGTAGAAAAAAAGTAAGAATTAATAGTATTTAAAAGAAAATATTAATTCTTTTTTTTTTGTCTTAGAAGATCTCGTCAACGAAGGTAAAATGAATTTTTTTTGATAAATTTGAAAATATATCATTTTGTTTAGTTCATCACGTGAACGTTCATCAACACCGGTTGAAAAAAATCGTGATCATGCATCTCGATCACCATCAAAAGATGATGATAATAAAAAAGAAGGAAAGAAAAACGATAATGATAAATTGAATAATGAAAAAATTGATCAAGATGACAATGATGAAAGTCATTCATCACCAACACCAGGAGAAGCTGAAATGAAAAATAATAATGATGAAGACTAGATCTATGTTGATTTTGTTTGAGCTTCTTTTTTTTCGTTGTATTCCATAGTTACGCGCGTGTATTGTGTAAAGAAATTCTTTCTTTTTTTTCGTTTGTTTGTGTGTTGTGTATGGCTTTATTTCTGTTCAATTGATCGTTGTATGTGCGTGTTTGAAGGAACAGATCATCATTGAAATAAAACCAAGAGTCGATCTTTATTTGATATTATTTTGTCTTATTTGCTACCACACGTAATGAAACTGTTGGAAGTTTTCTACTTGAAAAGATTTTTAGAATTTTAAATAATGTAAGGTGCCGGAAATTCAAAATCACAGTAAATTTTTTTTGTATTTGGTTAGATAGAGGGCACGAAAGTGATTATAAAAAAGTAGTTTTCAAATTTTCAAAACATATTTTTGCCAAAAAAAAATTCAAAATGGTGCAGAACCACATTTTT